GTGGACCCTGGGACCCAGACCTTGTGCTGTGTAAAGGGCCCCCAAAAAATGGAGCTGCTTCCCGTTCTCCCAGAACATTGATTTTTGTGACCACAGTTACAAACCGCCTCCAGAGAGCCTGTTCTACATCAGACCAGTGGAGCCAGATGGCAGCTAGAGCCCATCATCATCCTCATCTGGTTGTAAGTAGGCAATCTAGTATATTATTCGTGGCACTAATCTCTAATTTACCTCACATTAAAGGGACACTATAGTCCCCAGAACCACTGCAGCTTAATGTAGTGGTTCTGGTGTCTAGCCTGTCCCTGCAGGCCTTTTAATGTAAACACGGCAGCACTGCAGCACTGGCGTTAGTTAACATGGCAGAGCATTGTGATGTCACATGGTGGGGGGGGGGGCGGCAAACTTTACTTTTTCCTAGGGCGGCAAAAATACTTGCACCGGCTCTGCAGACACTGCATTCCTGTGGGCGGACTCGGGGGTGAGGGAAAATCTGTAAAATAAACCCTATACTGTATTACCAAAGAAAGGATTCAGCTATAAATCGTCAAACCGTTATCTAGCTCTTCCTCCCAAACCACTAAATCATTTACGTCTCTAGTTGTATTGTATGAATAATGTATTACATATTTGTGGTTGTTCAGTATCTTTACGTAATAATATAAAGTTTGGGTTGCACTGTAAGTTTACTGAATACCCTGTAGATCTAACTACACTTTTACTGAATGATGTATTGTCTTGGTTGCACTGTACTGTTACTGAATAAATAATGCATTGTCTTGGTTGCACTGTACTGTTACAGAATAATATATAGTTCTGCCTGCACAGTACTGTTACTGAATGATGCATTGTGGTTGATGAGATAGAATGCCCGGCTCTGACTGAAGGTTCTGAATCCAAACTAGAGTGCAAAATCTCCAAATATTTCCCCCCAGCCCTGCTGACTGTGACTTGGCTTAAAAAGAACAGCAGTAACACAGTTGTTAATGTAACAGGCTATAATGGCTATGAGATCCCTGATCTACAACACAACATACAGTCGGATATGACGTACAGCTGTACAGCATGTCTGATCACACCGTTACTAAGCTCAGAGCAAGGAGCCGAATACATCTGCAGAGTGGAACATCCCAGCCTTGAACAAGTAATAGAGAGACGGTGAGTGTGCTAAGAGTTCCGATAAATCATTGTTTTTGGGGGGGTTATAAGCCAGTTAAGAAATAGTCCTGTATGAAAACCACCAGCAGAGGGCATTGCTTGTTTTATACATAGAGATGGAAGGAGGCAAGAATTGGTCACTCTGAATGAAGTTAGCTCTTAGACACAGCCTGACATTCAATTATTTACTGTATTTAGATAATGCGCTCAGAGTATGGATCACAAAGGGAGGAACATTTTGGAGTGACAAAATTAAACACATGCTAAAATATGTGACAAGTGAAGCCATTGTACAGCGCTACGGAATCTGAAGGCGCTATATAAATAATATAAATAATAAAATAATAATAATTATAACTAATATATGCACCTTTTAAAAACCTTATTTGCCAGCTGTCCCAAAATAAATGAGGACAGGTAAAAGTTCCGATTTATAACAAAGAGGCAAACTCCATTACAGTGAATCATATCAGCTGTGAGACACACTCTGATAATACATTCATTGTTCACCGGGTTTAGTTCCGGCACTGAGTTCGGAGTCACGAGCAGAACCATTCAACAAATCCATTACAGAGCAGGTGCAGTGTAGATGGCAAGGGGGTTCCTAAAAATAAATAAATAAATTAGGCGCCAATTAGTTGTTTCCCAAAAATAATGTAACAGACAGACACATATAAGAATATTGTTGCCACTAGATTAGTCTATATCCATTTTTCTAATGCATATACCTGTACATTATAACCCAGTACGGCTGGTCTATAACTGATTTTTTCCAATTTGACAATTTTTATTTTCCAAAAACGTGGGTATATGGGGTACAGAAGAGAGACGGGGGGGGGAAAGTATGGCAGTACATCACATGTTCTCGCATATAGTATACATCATAACCTTCGTTACATGGTATATTACATTCCAATAATATTACAATAATTTTTCAATAACATGCTATCCCTAGTGTTAGACTTGGGCTTGTTCCCTTCCATTGGGTTCAAGACCCGTCCTGTGCTTCGTCACTGCTTGCGTACCCTACGATTGTGACTAACTGTCATTAGCTTTTTCTTATCTCGCATGGTCTGTACTTCCCAACCTAGTTCATTCCGGGTTACCCGGCTTCTACTTGTTTGAATCTCTCCTCTAGTATCCCAACGTGGAAGGGATTTGTAAAACTTGTGGGGTGGGGAGAGAAGAGTGTAGGAAGGTGGGGGGGGAAGGAATTTGGCGAGATCTGCGTGTCCCTTTTCCTACCGGTTCTGTTCCCTATAGAGACTTTATACTCCGCTCAGGACTCTTGGCTCTTGGCCTACCCAATGTCCTATGCCTGCCTCCTCTGTCCTCCCTGGGCTCTATCCCTTGGGCCCTCTCTCTTACCCCCTGGGGTGTATCTCTTGTCTCACGGGATCCCCTACGGGGCGACTCCCTGGTTTGGGATTATTCGCTGTCTTCCTGTTCTTTGGGGGCGTATGCGGCTTCCCATTTAACTTGTGCTTCCTCAAATTTGGCGCTGTTGCCATAGTTTTTCCTCGCTACCTTTTCGTAGTGTAGGTTGTTGGAGATTTGCCTTGTCAGGGCACTTTTAGTCGGTGCCTTTGTGTTTTTCCATTCCCTAGCTATTAGTGTCAGGGCCGCTATCAGTATGTGGAAAACCAATATTGCCCCAGCTCCCTGAAACTGGTCTAAGTTCATGAATAGGAGACTCAATTCCGGGGTCAATTTTATGTTGGTGTCTACCATCTCTTTAGTTATGTCCTCTACCATCTCCCAATAGGGTCTGATCGTCCCGCACTTCCACCATATGTGGAGCATCGTGCCCTCCGACACCCCACACCTCCAGCACAGCGCTGATGTTCCCTGGTATATCTTCGCCAATCTGGTAGGCACCATGTACCATCTATAGTACACTTTCCTCATTAATTCTATGTGGGACGTGCACAATGTCTTCCCCTTATGCGCTGTTACAGCTGTCTCCCATTGGGTGTTATCAAATTGTTTCCCCAGGTCCAGCTGCCACGCCTCGCTGAATCTGTCTAGATGTGTTGGTGTACCTACGTTCATAAGCGAGTAGCACATGGAGATAATCCCTTTCCTCTGTTTTTTGTCCATGCACGTTTTCTCCAGCCTCGTGAACTCGCCCCCCCCCTGATCTGTGAGTCTTTGGGCCCCTAGCATTGATTTAAGTTGGAGATATGGAAATATCAATTTAGAGGGCAGTTGAAATTTTTCTTGGAGGACGGGGAATGGTCTGGGGTTGTGTCCTTCTAGGAGATCCCGTACATGTGTGCATCCTCTCTTGGTCCATTCTCTGTAATCAAACGTGTTGTTGGCTATATGTAGGCTAGACAGCGGGGTTGCCGGTGACCATGGTGACATGGACACTAATGTCGATTGTGATCTATCCCAAGCCTCCAACATTGTTTTGGTGGTGGGTAGTATGTAGGGTTGTGGAGGGCGTAACCTTTTAGGTACCCATATTAGTTTCTGGAGGTCTGTTCCTTGTAACCAGTGGTTCTCTATTTCTAGCCATTGGGGGTATGAGGACTGTGTATGCATCCCTATCACTGGGGCCGCCAATGTCGCTTGACAGTAGGTCTTAATACTTGGCAACGCTAGACCTCCCTGGGTGATTGGTCTGTGTAGGAATTTTGCCGCTACTCTCACTCTCTTTTGTGCCCATACAAATTTGGTGAGTATTGTTTGTATTTTGTTTAGATATGAGGACGGTAGGCCTGTCGGTATCGTTCTAAATAGATATTGTAGTTTGGGGAGAAGAGACATTTTAAATGCAGCCATCCGTCCCAGCCAAGACAGGTATTTATCTTTCCATGCTGCCAAGCTGGTCTCTAATTCTTTTTGCAGCGGCTCGTAATTGGCCTTGAAAAGTCCCCCTATTGTCTTAGTCAGTTTTATTCCTAGGAAGGTGACACTGTCTGCTCTCCAGTCCAGCTCAAATTTCTCTTTCAGCACTCCTATCACTTCAGTGGGTATACCAATTCCCATTGCCTGGGTTTTTGTTACGTTTAGTTTATAATAAGAACTTTTACCATATTCTTTTATTACACTTAGTAAGTGTGGCATCGATATTAGTGGTTGGGTCAGGGTTAGGAGCACATCGTCCGCGAATAAGTTGGTTTTGTATTCCCTGTCGCCTATGCGCACGCCATGTATAGAGTTATGGTCCCTGATCTTGGCAGCTAGCGGTTCCAGGGCTAGGACATAGAGCAGGGGCGACAGAGGGCACCCCTGTCTCGTCCCATTGGAGATGCCAAAGGGGTTCGACAGGAATCCTGCATTGAGTACTTGAGCTTTCGGCTCGCTGTACAGCGCCTTAACCGCCGAGCGAAATTCGCCTGGCACCCCAAACTTTTCCAAGACCGCCTCCAGGAATTTCCAGTGCAGGCGGTCAAAGGCCTTCTCCGCGTCTAGGGATACCACAAGGCCCCCCTCTTTGTGTGTTCTGGGCAGACTGTGTACTATATTTAGGACTTTGCGCGTGTTGTCCGCTCCTTGTCTCCCAAGCACAAATCCTACCTGGTCTGAATGGATTAACTGGGGGAGGAGTGCGCTCAGTCTCGTTGCATACAGTTTGGCGAATATTTTCGCGTCTGTATTGAGCAGGGAAATGGGTCTGAAGTTTTGGGGGACAGTGGGCGGTTTCCCTGGTTTTTGTAAGGTGATAATATGGGCTAGTAGTGACTCTGTAGGGAGAGCTTGTGTAGTGGTTGCCTCTGTGAACATGTGTACTAATTGGGGTGCTAATTGGTGTAGAAAGGTTTTGTAGTAGCTGTTGTCTAGGCCATCTGGGCCTGGGGCTTTGCCATTAGGTAGGTTTTTGATTACTTTATGGATTTCTGTCTCTGATATCGGTTTTATGAGATCTTGCGCCTGTTGGGGCGTGAGCCTGGGGAGGTCTATCGTGGCCAAATAAGCGTTTATGTGTTCCTCTGTGGGGTGGAACGCAGAGTCGTTCTTATTTATGTTATATAGAGAGGCGTAATAATTAGCAAATTCATTGCATATATCTTTTGGGATCATTTTCTTCTCTCCCGTGGGGGACATGAGATAGGCAATTTTTTGGTTTGCTCTTTTTTCTTGTAACCTCCTAGCTAGGAGTCTACTAGCTTTATTCCCTTGCATGTATTGTCGCGACTTCAGTCGTTGAAGCATGAACCCTGTCTGCTCTAGCGCCTTCTGGTGTAGTTTTGCTGTAATGGTGGAGATTTGCATTTTAATGGCATTAGAGGGTGAGTGTTGGTTCTGTGTGTTCAGCTGGTATAGCTCCCGTCTCCATTGTGTAATTTGGGATGAGGACTGTTTGTGCAGATATGATGCCCTTTTAATGAAGACCCCTCTAACTACTGCCTTGTGTGCCGCCCAGATTGTGCCCTTAGACACATCTGGAGTGGTATTTTCTGAGAAGTAGTTACAGATTGTGGCCTCTATTTCCTTTTTAAATGTGCTATCATACAGTAAGGAGGCATTCAACCGCCATGGGCTGCGTTGTTTATAATCATATTGGTCTTTGACCGTCAGCGTAATTGGTGCGTGGTCTGACCAAGTGATTTGGCCTATTTCGCAGTCAGCCATTTGGTTAAGGGCCTGTCCGTGGATTAGGATCCCATCGATCCTTGAATATGTGTTGTGGACATGTGAGAAGTGGGTATATGCCCGCTCCGATGTGTGGGCTATCCGCCATGTGTCAAAGTAGTGGTGTAGGGATAGGAGGTGTTGTATTTTTTTACATTGTCTGTGTAGTATTTTATATCTTGGGCTGTGGCGTGGGGTATTGGAGTCCAACTTTGGGTCCCACACATGATTGAAGTCCCCGCATATAATGGACATTCCCTCTTGAATTGTGGACAGTTTCTGTAACAGGTGTTGTAGGAACCCGCCCTGATTTGTGTTAGGTGAATAAAGATTCGTGATGGTGTACAGCATGTTGTTAATCGTACATTTCAATATAACATATCTCCCATTTGTGTCTAGCTCTACTGAAATCATTGTGAAAGCCACTCTTTTAGATATTAGTATGGAAGTCCCTTTGGACTTTGTAGTGGAAGCCGCATGGTATTGGTGTGGGTAATCGTGCACAGATGGTGGGATATAGTCATCGGTCCTATAATGCGTCTCTTGTATACAAACAACGTCCGCATCCGCTTGTTTAAGGTCTCTGTACAATTGGTGTCTCTTAACCGGTAGGTTTAACCCTCTAACATTTAACGAGTATATTTTCATGGGGGTCTGTACCCCGTTAGTTTAGTAAGGGACATACTGAATTGTAAGCACCTGTGCGGGGAGTTCGCTCGCCCCAGCAGCATCAAGTCGAGCGATTTCCCCCTCTTGGAGGGTAAGATTCGGGCACCCCTCTCTCGCCTATTCGTGGGTGATTGGGAGCCCTTGCGGACATTATTGGGTACCAGAGTCCCTTGTGCTTGATGTTTCGTATAAGCGTCCTGCGGGCATATGGGGAAGGTTATATATTGTCCGGTCCCAGCCAGACCGGGGGGAAATTGGGAACATAACAGTAACAGGGTAAATGAACTTAACAAAAATGTGACGTGTGCCGTATGTGGCATAGGTACAATTTAGTACCTCTGGGGGGTGGAAGTACTACTACTTCCTCTTGGTGGGGTGCTTCCCTGACTTGGCCCACTCCTGTGCCGTCATGGTAGTCATGGCGTCTAGGCAGTCTGGTCCCAGGCTACCCTACTGGAGTGATTTACCACTTGTGAGGTCTTATATACGTAAACAGTTAAAACTGTGTGTGTGGTTTTTTTTTGTTTTTTTTTTGTTTTTTTTTTTCCTCAATTTATCTAACTGTGTCATAACCTCAGTAAGTCGCTTAGTTTTATACGATACCCTTACGCTCCTCCATGGTCGTTGCATCATGACCTTTCTCACCACAATCACTTGGTATAGTATGCAGTCTATGAGTCCAATGACATAGTCTTTCAGGCTTTTCTCCAGTTCGTGGAGGAACCGCCTGTCCTATTCGGGCTTCTTCTCTGGCTCTGCTCGGCTATGCCCCAACGCTGTAGCAATCGAGATCCTTCCTCAGGTGTTGTTATGGCCGATATCTTCCCGCCTCTGGACACCAGGATTTTCACCGGGTATCCCCACCGGTAAGGGAGCTTGTGGGTCCTGAGCTGTTCCGTGATGTCCTTGAAGTCCCTCCTTCTTTTTAGTGTATATGATGATATGTCCGCGAAGATCAGCAATCCCCCATAAGGTTCGGGGAGTTTCTTCTTCGCCCTGCTCGTTTGGAGTATCACTTCTTTTACGTGATAATAGTGCATCTTTATGAGGACATCTCTCGGGGTGTCTTGTGGCAGGAAGCTGGGTTTAGCTGTTCTATGGTATCTGTCCATCAGCAATTGATCTGTTGGTATATCAGGTGCTAGTTTTTTCAACATGGCAGTCAAATAAGTTGCCAGTTCTGCTTGTCCCACTTCCTCCTTTATCCCACGTATTCTTAGATTGTTTCTGCGGGCTCTGTCTTCCATATCAGCAAGCTTTAGTTCATACATTTTCATTTGGCTGCGGATCTCTTCCACCTCTCCCTCTATACCTTTATGTGCTTCACTAGCTCCTCCATTTTTTTTTCTGTGCCGGTTGTTCTCACTTCCAGCTCTTGGATATCTTTATGCATGGCCCCTATTGCTGTTTTAAAGCTGTTTTCCAGCCTGGCAGACATTTCTTCTAGTAGTGTCCGCATTACCTGCTGTGTGACAGGGTTTTCGTTCTCAGGGGACTTACTATGCTGTTCATCCTGGTCGTCGGCGCCATCTTGGATTTCATCCTGCACCAAGGCCTGCTTCCCCTGCGGCGTCCGGGAGGTGAAAAAAGCGTTTTTTTCGGCCTTTTCTATTTGCCGTTTCCCCTTAGCCTGAGACATGCTTGCTTGGGGATAAATGTCCCCGGTTTTATCGTCGGCTGCAGCCGCCTTATTGCTCCTGTGGGTCCTGTCGGAGCGGAGCGCTCAGTACATGCGGCCGCTCAGCACCGTCGCCAGGCCACGCCCCGTCTATAACTGATTTTGATAGAGAAAGACGAAGGGATCTATAAACCAAGAGAGGGCATTATAGCCTCTAACTAACAGCAGCGAGTGAAGTCTGATCCAAATCCAACAGGGAAGGAAGTGTTATCTGTATTTAGAAAAATCTGCTGTTGGATTATCTTCTTTTTTAATAAAACGAAAAATAATGTTATATTAATGGAAACAGCAGATAGTGCTCTCAGTAGGAACAATAAGAAATAAAATAAAATAATACTCACAAAAATAGAGCAGGAAATACTGCTCTATTAACACAGCACCGGTGGAATTATCCCCACCTATGGATTGCTTGGCTGTAGTTTAGACCGGCTCTTGTGAGATGCTTGATAGTATGTTCCCCACTGGTGAGTATGCTGGAGAGGTAGGACCGTCTGTTCGGCTGGATTCCGTTGGGCTCCACAGAATGTATAAAATAGTGATAGTGTTCTCAGTTTGAAAAAATTAGATAAATAAAATAAAATAAAATATACTTACAAAAATAGAGCAGATTGATACTGCTCTATTGCCACAGCATAGGTGGAATTATCCCCACCTAGGGATTTCTGATTATGGAGTTTGTAATGGACCTTCCTATGGTATTTCAAGAGCTAACCCGCAGGAGCCATAGGATGAGGCAAGCCTGGCACTAGTACTCCTGGCACTATGACCACTTCAGCATGCCATAGTAGTTATGGTGCTTGTGTGTTCCTTTAAATATTAGTGTGTGTCTTTTAGAGCTTTATTAACAGATACATTTCTTCATCCAGGTTCATTCCACAGGTCACGCAGTATCCGTTTATAAATATTAAATATCCAGAAACAGTTAGAACGTGACACATTATCACCTCTGAAGTTTTCTTCTTCTGCCAATCAAAAACTGAACTGAGAGATTCACTAAAGAATGAGAAGCTTCAAGCTTGTGGTATTTTAGAGAAATCTGGGATATCATTTTCTACCAGCCACAACCCTGATCGACGTTGAGGACTGTCGGATTACTAATTCACTATGTTTGTTTGTTTTTTATTGAGTATCCAATGGTTGAAATAGACTCATCATATTTGTCAGGTCCATGGCTGCAATAAATAGTTCACTAGAGCAGCTATGTCATTCCCAGGACAATGGAGATCCCCATGACCCTGCGAAAGCTCTAATGAAGATTTAGCTTTTGTTAAACTACAGATAGAAATATTAATCTAAGTTTGAGAAGTCCTCGTTTGGGACAGAAAGCTGAGAAATTCTTTTTCCTCAGCTATCCCAGAGTTCCTGGCTTGATATGTCTGCAGATACCCTTAGCATTGGACGCTGTACTAAAAGCTGATTTTTTTAATTTTTTTTTAAACCAAAGCACTGGTTGTGATAAAAAACAAACAAAAAAAAAACAGCCATAGACTTTGGTTTTCGACCTTGTCATCAACATGGTGCTGGTGATATTCTGGAAGTTGACTTCTTTTTGAGAGCGTAATTTGCAGTGCCAGAATGACTCTTAAATTACAGTGCCAGAACGACTCTTCATACGTCAAATATTACAATCCCTGAACGACTCATTGAACAATTTTTCCAAGTGAATAATGGGGTCACTAAGCTCATGCCATGTACTGATGTTACATCAGTGTAAGAAAAATATATAAATATATAGATCTCACTATTTGAATGGACACCAAATGGGCTACATAGAAATGAACAACAGCAATATTTACAATTAATCTTCAAAGTAATCTTGTTGTATACATAATGACATAAATAGTTGAATAGTACTTCAACTTTTTAAACATATCTATGAACTCAGTTTCACTTATTCACTTTAATTTTAGAGAAAACACAACATTTATTATTATTAGTATTATTATTGGCATTTAAGTAGCGTTGACGTTTTTTCCTAGCATTTTACAATATTATAAAAAGGGAAATGTAACAATAAATGAGAGGATATTTATTTATTCATTTATTTGTTTGTTTCCTATTTATGGTTGTTTATGTCACTGTTACAATTTATCTTTTATTGTTACATTATTAATAAATTGTTTAATTGTTACAATTTTTTTAAACATTTAAAAAATATAAATAAAAGTATTTTAAAAGAAACTGGCTAGTATTTCTATTAGTATTTTATTTTTATGCTGAAATAAATTTGCTTTGAACAAGAACGAAGTGCATTGAAGCAGTCCTGAAATGGCACCTCGGAACACTGGAGGAGGGAGTCCTCGGCCCCCTGACACCATCAGAGAAGGCTACCTAATATGCTTGCTGACTCCTACACCTTGTGAGTGCATTTAGAAGCTTAGGTGGTTTATCTACTAAATTATGTTTTTTCCTGAATATCTAGAGCCATATTTCCATACTTGTGTTGTATATAATATTTCTACTAGACAACATTGTGTCTAATATATGAAGTTGCTAATTTTCCATTATTTCTCTGTCTCAAGTGTAAGCCCAAAGGGGCCAAACAGGTCACAGCCCAAGGCTGGTCCACTCCTATTGTACTCATAATTGTTTATCAGATTTCCATATCTACTTAGGAACATAGTTGGCACTGCATGTTTCTATTGGATTCAATATACAGCTGCTGCAACAATCGGTAGTGGATATTTTAATATTTTATTGTACATTCCTAATAAAGGTATTTTGGCTACCATTAACACACTTGGATTGTGCCATTTTACTGTTTTATTCTATTTTATTTTTTTTAACTATTGCTGCTTGGTATCCTGATTGTATTTCTTCCTGCTGAGTATTACTCAAAGAAATCCTATGTGGGGATTATACCACTTACGCCTGAGTCATTGAGCAGTCCGTCTGCTCAATCATATGTGAGTACACATTTTATTACTTATACTCATTAGATATTATTTTAAACAGCGAGCACTATCAGTTGTTTCTCTTCTCTCCTACATTCTACATATCGTACGATACTTACCACTCTACACATAGCGGGGATTATTACGTTGTACGCCATCCACACTAGAGCTGGTTCAAGCTCTACTGTACGCAAGTAGGACTATTTTAGACCCTGCTGTTGTACAACTCATCCATCTATACTAGACATATTGCACTATCATCTGTCTTTTTTCTTCCACATACGGAACAAAAGACCAATACCTCCCTACGTATCCTATAAGCAGGGATTGTACCGCTGTATGCCATCCACACTGGAGCTAGTTTAGCTCTACTACACGTGAGTAGGATTACCATAGACCCTTTCTTCCTGCTATCCACTTTTAATACCAGACGTATTGCACTATTATCGTCTCCTCTCTTTACATACGGATCCTGGGAAGCTGCCTCAATGTAATCCACACAGAGAATATTCCTTTACATAGGCCGTTGGCGTCCCATCAGGCTTTACTTAAGACTTTGTAAAGGTTTTTTTCTTCTCAAGATTTTTTTTTTTTTAATTCTTTATTTATAGCGTGCAAAGAAAGACATAGTGTTCAGTAAGCCACAACAGCTTCTGCGCTCAGATTGATAACAAGACATATAAAACAGGGTTATGGCATTTGTATATATCGCACATTTTAAGTTTTTATGGTATGCTAAGAGTTCAGGCTGACTGGTATATGTCTGGAGCTACTGTGAAGGGAGAGTGGCTGACCTTTGCATAAACATAGGCCTGTGGCTAAGCATTGTAAGGTAGTACGGTGAGTAACGTATGAGGAGATGCATAGAGCGGTCAGCCACTCTAGACATGCTGGGTTGTTATGCTGAACAATGCTTCAATTGTGCCACTGGGTACTGTCTTCTCAAGATTTATTACTATATTCTGGACTCTGTTCATAAGTAGCTGCACTACAGTGAGCTTTGGCGCAACCTTCATTTATTTTGTCTTTTGAACAATCAGTTTGCCTAACCAAAGAATTTCTGCACAAAGTGTCAGAAACCATCTCAGGGAAGCTTATCTGCATGCTCCTCATCCTCAGATGCTGGATATGGAGGTCCTTGGCTGGTGTGGGTACACGTGGTACTTACCTTATCTGGGAGCCGGCCGGGGTCCTCAGCTCGAGCCGCAGTCCTGCTTCCACACATGCTACGCGCGGCTCAATCTTCTCTTCTGTACGGGCCACGTGCACTGACTGCAATGAGCGGTCACGCGCCCAGCCTGGCACTAGGAGTGTGGCTCGCGTCACGAGCGTGCTCTTAAAGGTGCAGTGGGAGCCACAATTAGATTCAGGCTCCCATTGGCCCACGTCATTTCGACGCCCCCACAAAGCCACGTGTTAGTTAAGGATATTTAAGGATATAGTTAAGAATCAAATGTTAGTTAAGGATATTTCAACTTTCCAAGCCCTATCCACTTTGCCCTATCGTTGTTTCTGTTTCAGTACCCTTTAATGCGTTCTTTGATCTGTTGTGTTTATTCTGATATTGACCATGGCTTTGTATCTGACTCCGAATTATCTATAACCCTTTCCTGTCTTGTTTGCCCGTCTGACTGATCACCGTGTTCCTGACTCTGTCGAGTTCTTGTTTTTGCTGTCTCTCTGTTACTTTGACTTTGGCTTGTCTCTGATTACGTTTTTTTCTCTGTCTAACGTTTAGTCTGGCCATTCTAAGGCAGGGTAATACGTTATAGCCTAGTCTTTTCCCTGGCTATCCTAAAAACTGCGTGTTGGGGTATTACAACGTGACACTATGGCTGCAGTGTGACAGTGGTATAGCATGGACAATGCATAGGTAAGGTGGCGACATATATAATAAAAATAATATACAATACACTTGGCAACACATATAAAGAACATAAAAGACAATATCTGTAAAAGTATTATAGAATATGTGGAACAAATTTCTACGACACTATATTCTTATCTGAACTTTATTATTTTATAGATCATTTATTGCCCAACCAAAATGTTCATGTTTGGTTCCAAAAACCCCCTCACACCTGCACTTCTGTATACACGACTGCCAGACTATGTAACCATACACTGCAATTGTGTAAAAAAACAATTAGCACAATTGCAAACTAAATTAGTTTATTGCAAATGATGCCATAACTACAGTCAGAGAGCTCACAACACAGCGACACAGGGAGCTGCGACACTGCAAGTCTCTGAACGATAAATACGAGACTAGCTCTCTGTATCCAGTACTGCAAGCCCACCATTCTATATTACTACAGCTCCTTAGACAGACAATGCAACCCCTATTTATTTATTTTTATTTATTTTTTTATTTCACAATTCAGTATATTTGTGTAATAACATTGGTGAATGACTCCCATCACATGTTGACTGATTTACCTCTTGTCTTTGATAATATCCTGTTTGTCAACTACTAGTTGTCAAATATCCCTTTTATAATTGTAAAGTGCTGAGGAATGTTGCCACTGAATAATAATTACACATATAATTCAACTACCAAATTACAGAAGGGGAGCACTTGGACTGAGGATAAAATGCAGAATCATTAAAACAAATTTTAAACAATGTAAATCAGTCAGTGAAATGGGGTGGTCGTGGCTTATGTCACAGTGATAGTATCAGTATGGGAGTTATGGAGTACTGTCAAGGGATTTGGAAATTGTAGGAAAAACAACTGGAAAAATAACACAATTTATGAATTTTTAAGAACTTAATTTATTCTCAAATGTGTTATGTTTTGTGAATAAACCTCATAACTAAAACAGCGGAGTACTGAAAGACAAAAATACATTCTCCCCTGATTAATTTTCCATGTGTTGACAGCCCAGTTCAAAGCAATGGCTGATGTGAACTAGGACCATCAACTCTTGGGACGGGAGTACATACTTATTTCCATAAATGAGTTCCATGCTCACTGTAATTTTATTTCTTTGCTAACCATGGCATCATCAGCTATTCGGAAGCTCCCTCAATCACAAAAGAAAAGACAAGAAGACCTGTAAAAATACTTTGAATAGCACTGCCCACTCACTGTCAGTATGTGTGATATAGGCTCATTAGGGTGGGAATGTAATTCTGCAGGCCTCCAAACAGCCTGGGTTCTGACCCGCCATCCCAACTTGGTTCTCTGGTGTCCCACTTTTGAGGAACTGTCCCCAACAATCATAGTGTAAGCACATCATAAATTGCGCTTGTGCTAAGTAAAGGGCACTGAAATAGTGCTCTCTGTGGGGTCTGTACTCAGTGGGGGGCTTGCTAACATGAGTGGTTGGCAGCCTGTACTCACACCAGGCTGACCTGGAATTAATGTGGCTCTTCTCAATTTTTGGGCAGAGCTAGTGGCGAAATCACATCACTGTCCCGTCCCCTTTCCGCTGGCGTCCCGATTCCGGGACTGACAAAGTTGGGAGATATGATGGCACCGTGATTACAAATTACTAAATCACTGAAAATATGAACAATTTTCTGTTATACTGCTCACATCTTGGCTGCATTCATTAATAGGCACTGCACAAGCTATACACTCATCAGCCAAACCACTGACAGGTGAAGCAAATAACTGATTATATAGTTTCAATGGAACCTGCCAAGTGGTGGGATATATATGAGGCAGCAAGCTAAGTTCTTGACTTTCATGTGTTGGAATCATGAAACATGGGCAACCAAAAAGATCTGAGTGACTTTGACAAAGGTCAAATAGTGATGGCTAGACAACTAGGTCAGATTATCTGGAGAGAAAAGGATACGTGTCTGTTGATTAAGATAGAAATGCATCGTGATTTATGCTGGACAGAGGCATGGGACTTGTGGGGATAGTCATTTGTTCAAAAATGTGTTTCCTACAGGCATATGAATTTCTTTCAACGGGGGTATTCACCCCCCTGACATTGTGTCAGTATATTTCATGTAGAGGGGGTAATTGAATAGGTTCTTGTAAGACTTTGTGACAAAATGCCTTTTGCCACTGGATTTTTATATGACCAACTGCCCTTTGCCCCTGGCTGTTGGAGGAGCCTGATTGTCAGCCTCCTTCCTCATGACTATGGCCCTGGGGTGTATTGCCATTTAAAAAGACTATTTGGGGCTTTTTGGCTTCTAAAAGACTGTTTCTGCCCATTTGAGTCCATGGGAAGATGTGTCTCTTCCCCTCCCCGTTTCCTGTTTATTGTTCTCCAGCAGGGCGTTGTCCCAGGTACACTGCCAGACCAGTTGAAACTTGCTGTTTTGCCCACCCTCGGTCTATCACGTTAGATTCCCATAGTTCATGATGTTTTTTGTTGAAAAGTTGTGGAACCCTAGAGGGGAAATAGAGAGAGGGATTGACCAATGGAACTGAAAACAAAAATATTCAAAAGCTTTTAGAGTCCATTTACAAAATCAATATGTACTTTTTTTATAGGTGCAACTGGGGTGTTGGAAAAGTTGAGGGGAAGTTGGAGAAAACAATAGGTCGCCAGGTTGGAAGAGGCCAATTGCCCCATGGAACTATCATGAAGAGTGTTTGGCCACAACTTCACAGGGCAAGCTGTATATCTGGGTGAACAGGTATGATGTTAGGGTCAGTAAGTTTAGGTACCATAAATAAATCTACACTGGAAGGTCTCCTATGATTGTATTTACTAATTGGTTCTAGCCACAAGTTTCTGGGAAAGATATGGGTTATCCAAAGCCTGCCTCTGAGATTCTACTTGCTATATCTATTTGAAATATAATTTGCCAATTACTCATTTATCTTAATTATTGCTATTGGAACCAACTAACTACAACCACTTCACATACCAGGAAATTCATTACCAAGTTATTTCTTTATACTAAGAGACTGCTACTTTGTACTACAGGAGTCACCTGCTTGGAAACCTTATTGGAGTCATATGGACTATACTACTTACTGCTAATTAAGCATTCCTCATTGAAATCTTGGACTATATTGTTGCCGCTGATTAAGCATTTCCTTATTTTTATAATTGCTATATTCTTGTGTTGCAATTCTGAAACAAGATTCCAAGTGTGGCGAACGTGACCTCACCACGGGCTCTTGGAGGAGCCTGCTTGCCAGCCTCCTGCCCACAGACTACTCCCAGCATACTGCTATAATCACTGCTATACTCTCTTGGAGGAGAGGTCTACCCACTGGGAGCTGGATCCAGGTGTTGGTCCAGGGTGGGAAGGGATGGCAAGACCCCAGCCAAGCTGCGGCAGCTAAGGGGGGCTACAGTGCTCATGGTGTCCGGTGTGGTGCTTATGGTACTCGGCGACTACAAGGAAGCATGATTGGTGGAGGTACCTAGTTGGTGTGCCAAGCGGTCCGCAACACCAAACATTCATTCATTATTTCAAAACCTATTTCCTGCAAAAGTCTGCCAAAGTTTATTTCCTTTATTTCCATAAATTATATTTTCTTAAAGTGACTGTATCAAATTTATTATTTTATCTGCAGTTGCGTTCCAAATTTTCTCCCAAGAGCATTACAGGTAGGTATGGTATTAACTTTTTTTAATTATTTATATGGGCATGAACCCTTTAACTTGCAAGTGCAGCAATTTGTCAACCAGGCGAACTGCCCCCACAGGGAGCAAAATATATAAACAATCATTATTCACCTTCAGGGGTAGTAGCTATTTCTCAAGGTAGATCCCAGTTACCATGTGTTCAATGACATTTAATGTACAGTCTGCATTTTACATTGAGAAAAGTTGAGATAGTAAGTTGTTCATTGACAGCCAAATGCCTTACTAGACAGTGATCTAATTTGATTTAAGACTTCAAAACACTTAAACCACTTTAACGAAGACAGTAAACAATTGGATTTTGTTGATTCTGCCAAGCTATAAAATCTAGTATGTGCTAATTCAAACTTTATCTCATGGTGAATAAGAAGACTCAAAGTCCAGATGACAACACTTCTTGTCAGAGAAATTAGAATAAGGATTCGTATTGCATGGTCTGACAGAAATTCCCACACTATTAGCGTGCTATCTACTAAAAAACTGAAAGACCAAAATTCGTGCCAAAATAAAGGAGGACTTTTATGATTTGTTTGTCTGGAATTTTTCTTTGTACTGTGCAATGGCAGCAGGTACAATTACACTGAAAATTTCCCTGTGAGATGGCCTTGAATCATGCTTGTAGGGCCATTGTGCAACCCCCTTCACCCACCGATCGACCATTCGGGTCTGAGTGAAAACCACACGAACCTGTACATTTTAATGCATTTTTTTAATGCATTTCTTGAACCATCTGAAGGATATTCCACTGGACAAATGATTTGGTAATTTTGCCACGAGATATCAGCAGATTCGTGTTCAGATAAAGAAGTGGTTTAATTCAGGTTTCGTTCCTCCTATCCTACATTGAACTCTACAGCGGATGGGATTGAATGAAAAGTCACCTGCAGAGACTGGACCATGTTAACTCATGTGGATGTTAACAAAAACGCCAGCAAATGTTTATAGGTCATTATTCTGACTTATTACTGCACTAAGTCAATGGAATTCAAGTCATTTACTTTAAGAAACCAGTTCCTGTATTTTTTTCTATTATTACAATGTATCTGTACGATTGCAAAATAACACTCCCTGGCTTTGTACGTTTTGTTTGTTCGGTGTGTCATGTGGTAATAATTGCAACTTCCTGTTATGTATTGCTATATATTTAGACGAGAGTAAAGCACTTAATACCCATTGCACAAAAATCAAGGCAACTTGCACTACAAGTGGTAAGTACATTTTAAATTTATTTTACAACAAGCAAATATTGTTGAAATGTAGTTATTTCAACCTAGCGACTAGCGAGCGCGTCACATTTGATACCATCTGGTGAGTTTTAGAAGCAGTAATTTTTACAAAACACAGAATTTCAACTGGATTCACTCAAATCCATTTGAAGGCAATTCCAAAAATAAATTAATTTGCGTTTTGCTTGCAAACCTGTAGAAATACTCAATATTTGATCAATGGCAGCGGAAGCAACCAGCAATTGAAGGGTTTTCATTTTAAACAAAAATTCTTAATGCGTGATTAATTTTGCTCTTAAATAATTTGCGGTTTACTTTGCCTGTGTGAATCTTCCAGGAGTATACGGTATGCGCTGTCATTGACCCAAAATTGTCACTAAGATCCATCTTCTATTTCTGAAAAGATATTTAGCTTTATAAATATATTTTTTATTTTTGACATATTTCATTCCTAAATTGAGTTGACTATTTTTCAGATTGTATTCTCCATCAACACGCTGTTAATGACAGATTTTTTTAAATTATCAGGTATTAGAATCACCGCTAGATGCACTTTAATTTGAATCAACCGACTCAAATTGGTTGATTCAAATTAACATACATCTGGCGTAGGGGATGTCCAAAAGGTAGATCTTTAGAGAGTTAGAATTTTAAAGCATCATGGAGGCTGTAGTATTAAAACATTTGGGGCAACCCCAATTTAGCGTGAGCAGTTCTGTCGAATCTTATGTGTATTTCCATAATTTCACTTAACTGGAAATTTTACATGTACATGTAACAATTCTGACCAATAACAACCCGAATGTCCAGCCCCCGATCTCATGGTGCTAGTTGTGAGTGATAACGTATAAGTTTTAGAATTTCTCTAATTCACAGGTGATAATAGCAGTGAGTAGTTTTTATACAGGGGCCCCGGAACCATGAATATATCTGGCCCAATTCACCATATTCTCCTGAAAACAGAGTGGGTTTGTTCACAGTGAGTTGACAACTGACTTGTAAAAGTCCTCAGATGTCCCATAATCTCAGGTCAGCAGAGAAAGCCATGGCTGGGTTAGCAGTCCAAAAACCATACCAAGGACACCAGATCTAACCCCTGGACCTTCTCTCTAGACTTAGTATACTTAGTATACTCATACCTTATTTTGAAATCACTCACAATCACAAACTTAGGGAGCCATATGTGGAATTGCGCGGAATAAACAGGTAAAATGCATAAAATGAAAATAAACGGTGGAATCTCTAGAATGTAATGTAATCACTAAGATGCACGGAACCCAGGACTGTATTCACCATACACTGAGTTGTGAGGAGCTAACAACCAACTGACAATATTTTGACTAAAATAGTTTAGTCTCCCATGAATAAAATATTTCATTTTACTATCTCAAGTCTTCACACAAAAACTGCTTTATACAAAGTTACTTACGTGCTGTCCCAAATCCCTCTGCACATTTTAATAACTGGAGGGTTTTAGAATCACTGGTTATTTAAGTGTAAGCTTCCCTGCCACGTCAAGGCAAAACCTCTTATGTGAGTCCTAAATAAACAATGCACCTTGCTGTCTTCAGCAAAATCTCTAATGGGACAGAAAGGAGTATTTTTCTAAACCCCTACTCACTTATTAACTATTAATACGGAACACCGAAGTGGCAGTCGCACTGTGGGTGGCATAGGAATTTCAGGTAGTGTGCAAGTAAATATTTTCTTTCTTTTTGATTGTTTGTCTTGGGGCTGATGTGTGTCATTGCTGCCGTCTGAGAGTAGTGGGAGTTTGAACATATCGCTTAATTTTGTATATTCTTTTGTTTTACATGTTACAGTGCCACCCCTCACCCATGCATTCCCTATTAAGGGTTAATAAGTGCGTATGGGTTTGGAGAAATATCCCTCTGTCACATTATGTTTACCTTTTGTCTGAAATAAACAAGATGAATTCTTAGTGTAGGACTCACCTGAGATGTTTGCCTTGACGTGGCAGGTGGGCTCATACTTAGTGGCCATTGGAGTGATGCTAAAAAAAACCTCCACTTATTTAAATGTGCATAGGGTTTCTGGATAGTGTGCAGGTAACTTTTTTTCTTTGTTTTTTTTTATTGTATATATTGGATGTTATTGTATATATTGGGGCTGATGTGCATTATAGTCATGGCTGCCGCCCAGGAGTAGTGGGAGTTTGAGCTTAGGGCTGAATTTTGCATGTTTCAAAATAAAACGACTCCTCGTGCTCAAAGTAATTTGTTGCCAAATGTGTCCAGTTTTCCAAGTGTGTCACTAAGGCAATTTACATTTCAGCAATAGGATAATCTTGTATTACACAACCTGACCTGAGTAGATCCTGTATTACACAATCTAACATGAGTAAATCTTGTATTACAGAAACTAACCTGCGTATATATCCTGTATTACACATCTCAGCCCACTCAGGAACGTTTTAGGGTTTTTTTTGCGCTGTGAGCATGTATAGTATTCTCTTTAGATCAAAGTATTTGATAATACAGACACTGATAAGCTAATGATGTCTCTCTTCTGTTTAGGCACCATGAGTAGAATTTTGGGACTTTGTACAATTGCCTCTCTCAGCATTCTTTTACTTACGCTATGTCCCACTGGTAAGTATGCATGCATGTCATTGTCTGGAACCCCTAATTTAGAAAGCACTATTTGTGTCCCATTACCTTTAGTCTGATTAATATGACAAAGATGCTACAATCAAAATAAGCCATTGAAATTGGCATGGAGAGAGTTATGGGTACCAGGCCAAATATTGGTTTTAACGTCTTGTATTTGTCATGAAAGGAAAGGCATGGCTAAAAGACACCAGTACATCACGATAAGCCTTTGCATATAGGTAGTGACTTGTATATCTCGCACAACAGTTCATTGTTAAGAAAACAAATGCAGCTATAAAACAACAAAATAAATAAACATGCTCTTGCACACACAGCACGTCAGAAAAAAAGAATGTCCTGTTGTGATCTCATTTATAAATTTTTGTCGAAAATAACCCTTTAAAAATTGTCCTAATCTGATATATCTCTAGCCAAAAATTTGCAATCACCTTGTAAGTCCTAAACTGTTTCCTATTAAATAAGTAAACTCCATTAACATCTGAGTGACAGTGTGCTTTGCGCAATCCTGTTTAAAACCTAATTTAAAGGGACACTATAAGCATTCAGACCACTTCAGCTCATTGGAGTGGTCTGGGTGCAACGTCCGTGTCCCCTTTAGTCCTGCAATGTAAATCATTGCGGTTTTATAGAAACTGCACTAATTACATTGCAGGACTAAGTCTGCCTCTAGTGGTTGTCAATCAGACACCCATTATAGAGATTTCCTGGTAGCTTGGCTACTTTTAGTCACCGTAGCGCATGCGCATTTGGACCCCCTCGCCCCTAGAGTGATGGAGGAGGTGGATCGCCGACCCAGCGCCAAGGGAGATCCGCGCTGGAATCAAGTGAGAACAGAAAGGGTTTTTTAACCTTTTTAATGTCAAGGGAGGGTGAGGGGGAGTTGGAGCATAAGGGAGAGGGGGGCAAGAGGGAGCTGTAGCGTAAGGATACAGATTTGTAAATCCTTTCACTGTAGAATCCCTTTAATGATTTATGTTCTGAAGCTAACAGAGGGACAGTGAGCTTCTTTCTGATCATTGCTGGGGTTTAACATAATTTTGTTTTTACCTAGGTTTGGCGTTGAACTGTTTGGAATGCCCGTGGTTTAGCAATGTAGAGTGTGGGAACAAGACAACATGCCCTGCATCAAAGGATGCTTGTATACGAATTACAACAGGTATGTAGATTGACTGGACCCAAGCACATAAAATGTAACCTGAATAAATCACTTGTGTGGACATGTCTGATGTATTGTCTATATATAACAGTCTCTGTGGATTTAGAATACCTACCAAGTGTCCCTATTTCGGGCCCAAAGCCCTCTGTCCCTCTTTTCTATATTCACATTAATGGGTCTTTAAACAGCAATACACGTCTTTAGAAATCAGTCTGTAAATAGGATACATTGTTCTTGTTCTAAATTGCATTTAAGTTGCATGAATTGTTATCCATAAGTCAACTAAAATTTCTTAGAACAACCCCACCCCTGGCCTCACCCTCACTTTTTCTTGATAAGGACAGAGGCAGTTCTGTTCAACCACAATTTACCTCTTTCATATTAAGTCCACACACACTTGTTATTTATCATTTTGCTCAGGAGAGACAGGAATTCCATTTCACATCAAATATTTGTATATAAAACATAATTTAACACAAATTAAATCTAAAATAAAAGTGTGAAAAATGAAGAAATGTTATTTTCTTAGTTCCACATTGTGTATTTTAACTGTAAATATCATAATAATGTTACCTTTCACTGCAATAAAACTCCTATATTTGTATTCCAAAATGTTATGGGATTTTGGAAACGTACAGGGGTCAAATATAGGGCTTTCCCCCTTTTCTGTTTTGACACATTGAACTTTGCCAGATTGGTTTGCTGGGCCTATGTTGACTTTGAGACCGCATGGCAGCCCAGAAATTAGAATTACCACTATCATGGCATTCCATTTGCAAAAGTATACAACCCAAGGCAGATCAGCCAACTGCTGATCCGATCACCCAGAAGGGCTGAATTTGCTGCAGGCGATAAGGAAGGAGTGCCAACGGGGATGGCAATCCGGTGGGCGCGCTATGGCTCCCTGCGACATTAAAGCCCACCTTTTTCAGGATGGCCTAGCACGCCCACCGTACTTAAAGGGATTAAAGTGTCCATCTTTGTCCATTTAAAAATGTTGGCTGTATAAATAAATATATCTATCTGTATCGCTATATAAACATGACGGTCCATGTTATTTCCGAATAGGTCTCTCTCTCTATTATATTATCCTTTTCTATCTGTATCTTTCTCTCTCTTTTCTTTCTTATCTTATGGTAATTCTTTTCATTTGTTTTTTTTTTAGCTAGTGGGTCCTATTACAACTGCTGGGATTTTACCAAATGTGACTCACAAGGTTTAGCTGAATATTTTAAGCTGACCAACTTCAATTCCACTTGCTGCTCTAATAACCTGTGTAACAGTGGTAGAACCAGCCTTCCGGTCATCTCTGTGGTCCTCAGTCTAGTTGCAGTCGTTTTCATGATCTGTCGCTGATGATGCTCCTAGCGTCTCTCCCTGTTCAAGAACAACCTGCAGTTCATAAACTAATCTGCATCTCCTAGTCCCGCTGGGATGTCGTGATCAGTGATTTTCAGCAAAATGAAATATAAATACCTTTAAATGTGAATAAAATATTTCCCACAGCATAATTAGGCTTTTGGATGTATTGTAAATCTCCTCCTATGACACTGATATCTCCTTTTGTTGTCTTTCCCTCTGAAATAATACAACTTTATTTTGTGTTGAATAAAATTACATTGATACTGCCTATCTGTGGTTAGAATCTTACTGGTCTGACTTGAAAAAGCCCTTTGTTTGGCGAAACGCGTTGTGTTCTTTTAGCATATATTTGCCTTTCACAGACTATTTTTTTTAACTATCTATTGTTACTGGCACATCAATACTTCTGAAGAATCTTTTCCACTCTACACCTCACCCCTGGCAAGGATTATCTTCTGGATAACTTATGCTACATTATATCCTATATATATATATATATATTACTGCTCTATCAAAGGTGAGTAAACAACCATTGATTTTTAGTTATTTAGTTACTCCAATGCAGTGGCGTAGCTAGAGCCTCTGCCGCCCGGGGCTGCCCCTGAGTTTGCCGCCCCTATTTCGACCCATGTCATGTCCGGTTCAGTTGTGGACGTCCGTGGCTGCACCAGACATACCTCTTTTAAGTACTCACCGCCTCTAGCCCAGCACAGTTTACAACCTTTTTAAGCCTTTTTTTTAGATATACACCCAATGAATAAATGCATGAAAAATTAATGCATGTAATTCATTATGGGCATATCTACTAAACAGTGATTTTATGGGGGTTGTGCTTGCCCATTTGGGCAGAGTGTTCCTTTAAATAATTATTGATACTGAAGTGCTTCAGTATATTTAACTTTTTATTAGTGTGAAAATAAACACTTTGGGGTGAAATGCAGCTTATTGAATTAATTTTTTTACACATTTTAAAATTATATATACTTTTATTTTTTGGGGAGAGGGTGTGTGTGGAGTGCAGGGGAGGGGGACTGTCAGGGTGCTGGGAAGGCAGAGGGAAAGGAGATATGTGTAGGGGAGTGAGGGGGAGTGTCAGGGTGCAGGGTGAGAGGGGATCTATGCAGGGGAGGGATGGTGAGAGGAGATCTGTGCAGGGAAGGGAGAGGGGATCTGTGCATGGGAGAGAGGGTATGAGGGGATCTGTGCAGGGGAGGGAGAGGGGATCTGTGCACGGGAGGGAGGGTAAGAGAGGATCTGTGCAGGGGAGGGAGAGGATCGTAGCCTGGAAGAGGAGGACAGAGGGAGAGGGATCTATGCACAGAGGCAGAGGGAGGGAAAGAGGGATCTGTGCAGGGAGGGAGGAGGGATCTGTGGGGAAGAGAGGGGATGTGCAGGGAGGAGAGGGATCTGTGCAGGGGAAGGAGAGGGATCTGTGTGCAGGGAGAGAAGGAGATCTGTGGAGGAGGGACAGGGAGAGGGATCTGTGCAGGGTGGCGGAGGAAGAGGATCTGTGTAGAGGGAGGGATCTGTGCAGGGGAAGAGGGGATCTGTGCAGGGGAGGGAGAGGGGATCTGTGCAGGGCAAGGAGAGGGGATCTGTGCAGGGGAGAGAGGAGATCTGTGCAGAGGAGGGACGGGGAGAGGGGATCTGTGCAGGGCAGGGAGGCAGGGGAAGAGGGGATCTGTGCAGGGAGGAGGGCTGTCAGGGAGGTCTGTGAAAGTGCAGGGGAGGTAGGGGGAGAGAGGATATGTGCAGGGAGGGGGGTCTGTGAAGGTGCAGGGGAAGGAGGGGCGGGGGGATGTGTACAGGGGAGGGAAAGGGAGAGCTTACCTGGTACTGTGCAGTGAGGAGGGGTGGGGAGAGCTTACCTGGTACTTACCTGTTATATCTGCCAGGCTGCCCTTTCTCTTCACTCCACAGGACAGGAGAGCACAGGAGGTGAACTCACTTCCCATCCTCATGCCCTGCCTCTTCCCCTCTCTCTCTGCAGATCTGGGAAGCAGAGCAGGATCGCTGCCAGGTCTCCCTCAGTAGGTGGGAGCCCCCACTAAAGTGCCGCCTGGGGCGGACCGCCCCCCCCCCTTGCTACGCCACTGCTCCAATGGCCATGAGAGTGAATGCCCACCACGTCAAGGCAAACCTCCTACACTGACTATTCACTTTGCGTCCTTGAGCTTCTGGCAAAGATATCTCTAATGACACAGAGAGGGGTATTATTTTAAACCCCTACACAGGGCCGGATTAACATAGGGGCTGATGGAGCTGCAGCTCCAGGCCCAGGCCCAGGCCCATGGAATAGGCCCATTGAGTTTAAAAAAAAAAAGAATTTTTTTTTTTTTTACATTTTTTTTCACACACTTCTCTTAGGGATTCCACCTGGCTTTTATTTTATTGGCACAGCCAGTATTTGAGGCTTCCTGGCTGGTGCCAATATTGCAGTGATACTGGCAATACAAATGCTGGTATTTTTCTCAGTATAAACAAGAGATTACTCTGCAATACCAGCACTGGCCAGTAGGGGTCACTGTGTGTGGAGACAGGCAGGGATAGGAAGTTCCAGCATATCCCTCCCTGCCTATCTATACTCACTGATCTGCAGGGTGCAGCTACAGAGAGCACAAACAGCAACTCCCACCCTGCAGAGACAGCCTACAGCTCAGGGAAGTAAGGGATGGGGAAAAGGCTGCAAGGAGACATACACTGAGACACTAAGGGGCACTGGGAGACATTATGGCAGACACTGAGACACTAAGGGACATTGGGAGACATTATGGCAGACACTGAGACACTAAGGGACACTGGG